TTTTTCGTCACAGTTAGTATCGAAGGCAGACCTGTACAATTTGAAATCGATACCGGGTCTGGCTATACATTTTTACCCAGAGACATATTTGCGAATCTAAACATTAATGCTCCGCTATTGTCATCAAACATGGCATTTCGATCATACACAAAAAACGTTTTCGTTCCCGATGGGAAAATTTTGGTACAAGGAGAGCATAAAGGTAATGCGATAACAGATGAAATATATATCGTGCCAGAAGAGTATACAGCGCTCCTAGGGCGTAATTGGATTAGGAAGCTCAACATAAATTTGAACGAAATCAACTCTGTACATTTAACAAATCCTTCAAGCGATATAGATATTATCAAATTATTGAGCGAACAATTTAAATCAATCTTTGAAAGCAAAGTTGGTTGCGTCAAACAATACACAGTGTCGCTTAAGTTAAGGGATGGGGCAAAGCCTATTTTTAATCGTGACCGTGAGGTTCCATATGCCTTAATTCAGAAAGTTAATCAAGAGCTTGACGAGTTAGAAACGGCGGGAATAATTTCATAAACTGAGATTAGCGATTGGGGATACCCCTTGGTAGTTATACCAAAGGTGGGCGGAGGTGTACGCTTATGTGTCGACTATAAAGTAGGAGTATATGAACGTCTAGTGGACGCACATAGTCCGATAAGGAAAACAGAAGACATATTCAATTGCTTACGTGATTCAATGTATTTTTGGAGGCTAGACCTATACAAAGCTTATTTACATATACCAGTCGATGAAGATTCGAGCATAGTACAAACGATATCTACACACCGCGGCACATACAAGGTGAATCGTTTATCCTTCGGTATTAAGACGGCACCATCCGAGTTCAACCGAATACTTAATCAAATACTCCACGACGTCCCAAAAACAGAAGCATACTTCGACGACATTATAGTTCACGGGGCAACAAAACTAGAATGTAGAGAAAACTTATACAAGTGTCTACATCAACTACAGAGTTTTGACCTTCACCTTAACAAAGACAAATGTACTTTTTTTCAAGAAGAAATTAGTTTCTGGGGCACACAATCAAGCATAATCAAATTTCAAAATCAAAAAACAAAATAGCAGCAATCGTAGATTTACCTAAGCCAAAGTCGGTTGATGACGTCAGACGATTTCTTGGAATGGTTACTTACTACGCGCGTTTTATTCCAAACTGTTCAACAATCACATCTCCACTGCGTAGTCAAACCAAGAAGGGTGTAAAATTCAATTGGTCGAGACAATGCGATAAAGCGTTCGATATTATCAACAAGGAAATAGCAAGCGATCGTGTACTCGTACCGTACAATCCAGCGCATCAGCTCCAATTAGCGTGCGATGCCAGTCCAACTGGAGTCGCAGGGGTATTATCTCATATAATAGACGGTCAGGAACGACCAATTTCGTTCGCTTCTAGATCTCTTACAAAATCCGAGCAAAATTACTCACAAATTGACCGAGAAGCATTAGCAATCGTATTCTCAGTCGATCATTTTTATCAATATTTGTTTGGAAGGCAATTTATCTTGTTACAGATAATCAACCATTAGTACGAATTTTCAATCAAAATGCGAAACTACCACAAATGAGTTTTTCGCGCCTTCAAAGGTATGCAGTTTTTCTTTCCGGTTTTGACTATCGAGTCGTTTACAAACGAGGGATAGATAACGCTAACGCCGACTGCCTGTCTCGAGCTCCAGTATGTTCGCCACATCTAGCGGACACCATTATCAACAATGAAATCAACCAAATCTGTGAATCGACTATACAACAAATTTCAACGCTAAAACTAAATCATAATACTCTCAAATTAGAAACTGAAAAAGATAGCGAACTCTCCGCACTATTGCAAAATCTAAAAAACAAGCGGATAGAAAATACAATGTTTACAATCAACAATGGTATCATATTTAGGGGTCAACGCGTCGTAATACCTGCAATCTTACAACAATTGGTACTAAAAGAGCTTCACCTTACACACATGGGTATTTCAAAAATGAAACAACTAGCTCGCAGGTACGTGTATTGGAAATCAATTGATAAGGACATCAAACAACTAGTCAAAGAATGTGTCGCATGTTCAACGGTTAGGGCCTGCCCTCCAAAAGTCAAATTACACACATGGGAGGAACCAGAACAAAACTGGCAGAGGATCCACATCGATTATGCAGGGCCTTTTCAAAGATATCATTATTTGGTCGTGATAGACGCAAAGTCTAAATGGGCTGAAATTGGACTGACAAATATAGCACCAACATCCAGTATAACAATTGAAATGCTAAGTGACGTATATGCAAGACATGGGTATCCGGATGTAATTGTATCCGACAACGCCACAATATTCACTAGCGACGAATTCAAGCTGTTTTGCTCAAGTCATGGCGTCTTCCAAAAGTTCATTGCACCAGGCCATCCAGCTACGAACGGGCTAGCCGAACGCAATATTCAAACGTTGAAACAACGTCTTAAATGTATGACAGACGACCCTCGTCCTATGCGAAAAAAAGTTAAGAGAAATACTTTTCCGCTACAGGTCAACGCCATTGAAGTGTGGAAATACTCCAGCAGAACTGTATCTGGGAAGACAGATACGAATTCAATTTGACACACTCAAACCACCTAAAGTGGATAGCCAACGTACCGTTCAAAGACATGACGTTCGTCAATTAAAGGAGGGAGAGAGAGTACAAACCCGTTATTACATCAACAATAAAAAGTCATGGAAATTCGGTACAATCATCAAAAAGTTGGGTCACCTTCATTACATGATCAAATTAGACGATGGATATATTCTCAAGCGCCACATAAATCAATTGCGCGCAACAAGAGTTCCATCACATACTCCAACAGCGAGTTCGACTAACACGTCATCACAAGATTGTGAACCAGATAGTTGTTCCCCAAATTTTCAGGACCTCGTACAGGTTCCAACGAATACAGAGAATCGTCCAAGGTCATCTGACAGCGAAGGACACAACACTCCGGTAACAACAACACCCCGGAGATCCGAACGGCAGCGTCGGGCACCAGCATACTTGAATGACTACCGACGTAATACTTAAGCAGGGGAGAACTATTGTAACTTTACATGTCATATGGCAACTCTGTATATATGTATATGTATATTGATACTTGGCAGCACAGTTAAATATATCGAGCTGTCATTATTCATTTCTTTTTATAATGATTCATTCTGTAGAATCATCGTTCATACAACTTAAATTAAATGAAATATAATTATCTGAATAGAACAACCTGTGTAACACTTCTTCCAATTAAACCACAACACCATGTATTTTTTTAAACAAACCTTCTTGCAGAGGACTTATTTAATTTGCAAAAGCCGAAAGAAAACATTCGCTTAGTAAATGAATTCAAAATGTGTATGGCTCACTTCATTTCAAACGTTTTTTTCTTTTGTTTTGAATAATTATAAAAATTAAATTGAGCGAAAACAAAGGCAAATAAAAGTAAAAGAATTAAGATTGAACTGCGTCAAAATAAAGGAGCACGAATTTCGATGTGAAGCAAAACTCTCTGGGAAGACAATACCTTTAATTATTGTACCATGATTGCAAGGCACATAAATACAGGTAGAAGCCAAAATGGCATTGCTCTCATGAGAACCAAACCTTTAAACTTCAACTTGTTTTTCTTTTATTTCCTATATTTCGTTACGCTTTGAATGTCATATCGTTGTTTTTTTTTAATGTCCGTTAATAACACAAATTTTAATTAACATTTGAATTTTTGTTGTTGTTGTTGTAACAGCATACAAATTCCCCAAAGAGATTTTGGGGAGTGTTGCTGGAGTGGTGGCAGTCCTTGGCCAGATATATATCTATCTGGGTCGTTCCGGTTACGTAGACCCGACTGTCGTGGGAATTTGAATTTTTGTAGTATATTGCGGTGTATACTTGATGTGTTAAAAATGCAACACCTGAATATAACCTGTTAAATATAACGCAGATACCACTAATTTTTTTATCGTGCCTCAATGTCCTTCGCGTAAGGAACGTTGCGATAGCAGCTGTGGGGCAGAGCTGCAGCGAAATGCCTTGCTGTGCGTTAAACATTTTAAAGGAGCAGATTTCACAAATACAACAACAACAACAACAAATACACCAAGTGCAGTTTCAAGTGGCTAAGAAATCGCGAAGATTTTTGATAACTTTTTTGTTGACGGTGTCACGCATTTTCTTCCAAACAAAGTATGTTCAACAATTTTTGATTTGTATGGAAGTAAATAATAAATAGCACCATCTGCGAAAAAAAAAATCAACAAATCAACGCAAATTTTTAGCCACTTGAAACGTGCACTTTCTCAATCTAGAGTTTAATGGACTATAAAACTGCATTTGTACTTATTTAGATTTTTTCTTAGTAAAAAGTTTGTATTTGTTGTAAAATTTTGCTTAATTATTCGAATTTTTCTAGACAATGAGCTATGTATATTTCTATTAAAAAAAAACATAATGAACCTTACACCAGGGTTTGAAATTGCTTGACTATTTTCAATGCATTCGCAATTGCTTCGTTGCGACTTAAAAGAGGTAAATCAGCGACAGCAAACAGCAAAGTACTACGGATTGTAAATTTTTGTTAACTATGAGGTGAATGAAAATTTTCAACCCGGCCTGACGGTTTTGAAGAATTTTTTTGTTCAAATTTTATTACTAACGCGTCTAATAAATGCATGGCTTTTAGTTCTAGAAGAATAAAAGTCAGTAAAGACAAGTCTTTTTTGTGTAGTTTCTGATTTTAATTGCTCAACTTCTTTTGCACCAGAGCAACTGTTAAAAATTTCCAGCAGTAAAAAGTTACGAATTGGCACAGCAATGTAAAATTTTCTCGCCATAATAAAAAAGTTTTTTCAACATGGATCTTTTCTACTAATTGACATGAAATTACTATCTCAACGCTCGGAGCGCTGCCACTGAGGGCTTTTGCAAACTGATAAAAAAGAGAAAATTTGGAAATACCAAACAAAAATTTTTAGATTTCTTCTTGTGAATACGAATGCCATAGTTTTTACCTAGCTCGTGGGACTACGCAAAATTTTGACAGCTTGTAAATATGTATACACATAAAGTTGTTGGCGGTAATAAAGAGTCAAAATCAAAATGGAGAAAAGAACAAAAAGCGTACGTTAGTTGTCAGTTATAAAATAAATCCAATTTATTTGCGAATATTTGTTTATTCTAGTTATTGAAAGGCAACTACGCGAAAAAGCTCGTGTTAATTATATTGATAACAAAACCTGGCAGCTCGCACGTTGTCTAAATTCTCAAGTAACATAAAATCCACAAAAGAATACATTGCTTGTATTACCATCAATACGCCATGTATAAATTTTAACAACACACAAAAATAGAGCTTTCGCACGAGCGTTTGTTTGGTTTTTCAACACCATTTATTATTTTCTTTTAATAAAATCACGTATTGTCAAATGCTTAAATTTATTTATCTAATAATAATGCAGCACCAACCCTGAAATCTAAGAAAAAGTCTGAGGAAGGCCATTAAATAGCAGCACACAACCCCGTGCCTTCCTCAGGAGTGAATATAACTACAACAACAACGACTACTACAACAACAACCCAAAAAGGTTGGTTACTGTCTATACTGTGGTTTACACAGTCAGCCGAAGCAAACCAGTTCAGAAAAATTTGCTCTTCCTGCAAGCTTACTGATTCGGGGTTATTTTTACTAGGACTAGTGAATCAAATTTCTAGTTCCGTACTAGGTCTTTCTCGTTAAAAAGGAACTAGTATGATAGGAACTAGATCCCCACCAGTACAAAATCGGCGAAAAGTGGTACTTTTAAAAAACTAATTTTTTCAGTTTTTTCACTAGAAATCTATATCTAAAGTGACGAATTTAGAACTGGTTCGGAACTATAGAAAAAGGGATGCAGAACGAACTAGATCTTATTTGTCGAATTTTGAACTAATTCGGAACTATCGAATAAGGGATGCAGCGGGGGGCTTGCTTACTTTACACAGATATGTGTTCGGCGGCTTCTTCGTTCATATACGCTTTTATTCTGTGCTTCGCAGATGCTTTTTCATAGCTTGGTAATACAAAACTAAAATTTGTGTTAACATTTCAACATCTTGGGACCGTCTGGAATCTAAGAAATAACAGCGAGCACCTCTGCAAACTCAGCTACAGCTAAAGGTATGTAAACGTACATTTCTTACGATCATTCAAACAAATTTAATTTCAAATTGAAAACACATTTCTTCCAAAATAACTTAAAATCGCACACACGGAAGAACCAAAAAGAATTTTTCAATACTTTTTTCTTTCGTCTGTCGATTTTAGAACTGGTTCGGAACTATAGAATTTAGAACTAGTTCGGAACTATCGAAAAAGGGATGCAGCGGGGGGCAATTGACACTTCCTAGGACATCGCCATGTTAAATTCGCCAGTTGCTTGCATGCAAAAGAGATTTATCGCGAACCAGTACTGGGTCTAAATGTACTAGAAGCGCTCCAGTTCAGAACTAGAGATTTTCCCCACAGGGTACATACATATGTTTGTTTGTATGTACATACATGTGTATGTACATATATACGCAAAAAAGTGTTGCTTATGCTATTTTGTAGTCAGAAATTCAAACCCTGCATTCAACAAACAAAAGAAAAATTGTCAAAACTGATATAATGCATGTATCTACGTATAATTGCTACTTTATAGTTATAACAAAGATTTTCCTTTTATTGTGCTGTGATTGACTTAATATTAGATACAATTGTACATACACCGCTTTTGATGCATATATCTAAAGAAATCGAAAGTATAGACCACCTGTTTCATGTAAGCACCACATATAAAAGATTTCCCCTCAAACAAAATTTTAATCGGAGTGCGGTGAAGTTATAGGTGTATTCGCGTATTCTTCCAGCAGAAAACTCTCAGCAGCAAAATTCTAATGAATTTTCATCTGATCTCTCTCAAAGGGAGAAATGTTAGCAAAACTACGCGAACGCAAACCAGCAAAAACTTGCAAGTTTTCAGTACAGCTGATCGAAATTTTGTTTACATGCAAAAGCATAAAACAGAAAACATGAAAAGAATATAAATTAAAAGTTTTCCTAAAGCAATGTGCTAATCAAACATGAGTAAATAAGTATTTGCTTTCTTCCGATACATTTGCAGTTCTAATAAGTTATTTCAAACTTTAAAATTATAATAATAAATCTAAATCTAAATCTAAATCTAAAATAAATTTCCGTATTTTCATAAATTGAAAACAGATGACTTTGATTGATCAGCTGTTTTTCTTGCTGGCAAATGACTGCTGGCAAAAATTTTTCCAGCAGAAACTAGCAGCTTTTCATCAGAATGAAATGTCAATTTGGTCTCTTAATTTCCCCTACTTTGCTGGATTTTTGTGTACACGAACAGGAAAATCTGATAAGTTTTTGATAATACGCGAATAGTTCGAATTAGTTCGAAAAAGGCAGTGCTTATAAGCCTGTTAAAAACAAAATCTGTGTACAAGCACCCTGTAAGAATTATTTTACATGATTAGAATTTCTATAATGGTTTTAAATTACCGTCGTCACTTTCCTAATTTGGCGTACATTTTTATCTATGCTTATATCCGGAGAATACTAAATAAGTATAGCAGTTCAAATACTTACATAATTCGGGATTTAATGCACTTGTCCCTTTTGTATTTGTCAGATTTGTTTTCAAGCAGTCATCATCGAGCTCGCGTGTCTGAAATGTAATTATTTATTATTAACCTTTTGTTTTGGCAAATAATTATGAACATATAAAAAGTCATTTAAAAAGATCAACTAAGCTGCCCCAGTTTAAGAAATTTTAAATTGGATTTTAATTCTTTCATTACTAGCGTTAAATATATTTTAACACGAGAAATTGGTAAGAAATCGGTTAAATTTTCTGGGATTGTAGACCTGCCTGCTTTGGTGTGAGTTAAAGCGAAAAATTTCCTGAAATAGTAAAGAGAATATTTTGAGCTATCTACAGTGACTCAAACAAATGACGCCGTGTTGTTTTTTTTAATATCCGAGGTCCGTTAACCTC